TAGTAGAGAAGTAATGCAGATTAAAGCTTTATTTACAAAGTGGGTAATGGGTTGCTAGTCTGTGTATTTGCTTAGTTAACGCTCTCGACGTCGTTAGTGACTGACCAGTAAGAAGATAAGGAGGGGTGTAGTGAATGAGAATGAAATAAGCAACTTCGTTCGCGGCATATATGCAGTCTTGAACCCTTGGGTTTGATAACTTCTTGGATCCGATTGAAGATATGGGCTTATTACGGCTAATTCAAGTAAACATCTAGAACAGCACCATTATATATGTTTTAAATTAGATTTTGGTATAGATCTACCCTTACGATTATATTTCAGGCATCAGCTTCGAGTACTAGGGCACGGATTATCGCAGCTGTTAAGAAACCGGAAGAAAACCCCAGTTTCTTCAGCTCCTCCTACAGGAGAAGAGTTCGTTGGTTTTCCAGCCTACATTAACTCCCAGTCTTGTTGGTTATTTCCTTCCTATTTCAGTGAGGCTGTTCGTACCATTGAAGGCACATCGCAAACACGTGCGCCACGAGTTATCCATCAGCATGTGGTGACGACGCCATGCAAGCGGGAATACAAATCCGCTGTTCAACGAGTCATGGATAATCAGGTTGGGTTTTGGTATTTCCTTAATTTCTGATTATATCGATCAAGAGCGTGCAAAGAATCTAGAACGAAAAATTGCAGAAGCATTGCATACAGATTGCATGCTTAGTTCTGTTGTTTTTCGACAGTATTTCTCATTCTCCTCTTGTTTGTTTGAAGACTCTATCAACATTTCGCTAATTTATACGTATTCAAGAATATAAAGCAATGAAAATTTCTTAGCAGGTGAAAAACTTCCATCCTTTCTTAGGTACACGATTCATGTTACTATAAATGTTTTGAAGTTAGCGGTAAGCTCGTCCGTTTTTCGATGCATATTGAAAGTACTAATGGTGATCGATTAGATCTCTTTTATTTTGCAGGTCATTGCACGGAATTTATCTCCAAAACGTCCAATGATTCGCACACCAGTTCGACCTATTAGGAATCCTCCACTGACAGCTGCGACGAATCCTACTCAAGTAGGTCTTATAACATTGATATGATTTTTATCCATTATTCGAAATTTTCAGGGGTCATCTCACATTCTTAAATAACACTCAAAAACCTGAACACTTATGAAAATCTCGTGTGTAATTACTAAGTACATCATTTTAGGTTGCAAAACAAAGCAAAGCTGAGGCTTTGCGTCGTGAAAAGGAAGAGCTTGCTGCGCAATTGCGAGAAGAACAGTGTAAAGAGAGAGCGGAACGTATTCGTAAAGAACGCGAAGAGAAAGCATTGAGGGTAAAATTCAGTTTTCTACGATGCCACTTTCTTGATCATTACGTTTATATTGCGCTGGGCGATGGTGCCCCTAGTAGACCGCTAGAAGTCATGAAACGCTCTGTGAAAGAGATTGTGTGACTATTGCTTATTTATTTATTTGTTTGTTTATTTATTATATACACGAGTGAGTTCCACAGTTGTTGAACTAGATCAAAGGCAGAAACAAAGAAAGGTAAATGAAAAGCAAAAGGCCAAGCCGAAGAGGACCGTCCGCAGCATCAGCCAAGTAAGCAACGCAAATATTCAGTTCGAGTAGAATCTACCACATTGTAAATCGATTTGCAGTATGGCTTAAAAGTGAGAACTCTGGCTCGTTTTTCGTAAGGATGGACAGTTTTCCCTTCCCACACCTTTGTAACCTTTTATGGGCAAGAAGAAGTTGCAGGGAAGGTAAAAAGATTTGAAAGAAACATAAGGGGGTGAATACAGTGTGAAAGTTCTAAAAGTAAACGGCAATAAATTATCGTTATTGCATTAACTCGCGACATCAACATAGTGTGAAGGGCAGGCGGTCATATCAAGTTAACACTGTTTCAGATTGCATTCAATTACTTCCTCATGAAAGGTTGTGTTTGTAATGCTCTTCAAAAAACTTTTTAACTTATCTATTATCTGATTGACCAGTCTGATACAATTCAGAGAAAAAATTGCTTGTTCAGTGAGGCTCAACGTGCAAGAATGATATGAAGTATGGCAAATGTCAGGCAAAAAAGGACATTCAGTTCAAAAGCAAGCTTTGTGAAAATCATTTGAAAATCGTTGAAAGTCATTCAAAATCGTCGTCATTTAACCTCATGCATGACCAAGCTAATTGTCACGAGGTTGCGCGTAATGACTTCGCAGATGGACACAGGAACGAGTTTGTCACCAGTCTATGAGTCGCGAGCCGCTGTTGAAAGAAGATATTCAGTATTACGATGAGGTTCCAACTACCCAAATCGAGCCAAACAAATAGCATCCCTCTTTTTCTTCTTCTACTTAAATAACATGAGTGAATGGTTCGAAAATATGTAGCTTGTACTAATTTCCAGAGTAAGTTCGTTTTCATTATTTTGTAGAGAACTCAAAAACACTTGACTCATTATATTTCCCTTTTAAATGTTCCAAATGCTTTGAAAGTGTATTAATATAGATAAAGTTAAGGCCTAAACCGTCGACTGGAAAAAAAGAGGCTGAAGAAAGGCAAAAAGCTGAAGCGAGAAAGCGAAAGGAGGAGATGGATGAGCGGAGGAGAGAGGAAATTCGAATTCAAAAAAGTCCTTCGTAAGTTCTTATGTAATAAGAAATGGTTTCCAGATAACAATTTTTGAACCCTTCCCATTGTGTGAATTTGCTTAACACATTTCACTGCTCTGAATTTTATCCCAATTCATAAGATTTTTTGGTTAACTGCGTTATATTGTACCTGTAACTTCGATTTTTACGACCTCTTGGCGAAGATTTTTGACAAATCTCTTTTATTGTTTGTGCATATCAATATCCACGACATCGTTTAAATATTTGGTTTCCAGGAAAGCAAAGCCCGCTTCTCGTCTTGTTAGTCGCTGCCAGCGCGGTGCCAAAAACATGTCGTTGACTTACAAATCCGTCCTGCGCTAAGGTATATTAAAATCATCAGTTCAGCATCACCAGTAATTTCTATGTGACTTTATTTAAGATGCTATTCCCGGCTACTCCTGGACGTGCCCCATCAAAAGTGACGAAAATGGGTGCCATGGGTGAAGCTTCCAGGAGAGCCAACCTCATAACACTGTAAGACCTTCCTAAAGCATTCGCATTAAAATTTCACTCGAATTTTGGTGGCACATATTTGTAACGCTGCTAATCAAATGCGGTGAACTTATGATGAATTTTTACGCAAGCACCAGTATTGCGGCTTAGTTTCGCATTGTGCATTGCGGTTCCCCGCCAACGTGCCATCTCTTTCATGAGTCTGTTTGTTACAAATTGATCCAGTGAGTGCGATGTTACATTTCGATCCGTCCTGAAGCGCATAAGGCCTTGCTCTCTGAACATCCTTGAACTTTCTTACGAATATCCATTTTTTAAATCCATTCTCTGCTTGATATTGTGTCCTGATGGCTCCATGAAATTGATTTGTCTGCAGTAGAGTGCAATACAGGTCGAGTAACCTTGATCAGTAATCTTGATGTTTTCTAAGCCCACTCGTGAGGTGCGACGGAAGCCGTGTTCATCCAGAAATGGTCGCTCGAGAAGAAGTGACAGCACGGATGATGAATCTGTAAGTACCATTTTGTGTTGGCGTGATCCATTGCCTGAGAAAGCAACGAATTCTTTATGTTGACCCTTCTTTCAGATATCTCCTCAAAATACGGTGCGTAGACACGAAATTGCAAGGGAAGAAAGACAGAGAATAATGAGAGAAGAGCATGAGCGGCAAGAGAGGTGCCTAAAAAGCTTTGTTATTAGTCGCTGGTTTTATTTATCCTTTGTTATTCCACTTCTTCTGCTTTCAGATTGCGAGAGGAAGAAAAGCGTAGGCTACGACTGGATAGTGATGTTAGGCAACGTCAGCTTCCCTCAGGAAACATCGCTGTGAAAATGGAAGTAGATGAAGTGCAGCCCCAGGATGAACAACGACTAATCTTCGAGGAGCAAGAAAGAGTACGGCTTCTGGAAGAAGAAAAGCAAAGGGAAAAACGAATTGCCGAAGAAAAAATGGAGCGTGAAAGGCTGAGACTCGAGGAGGAGCAAAGGAAACAAGAAGAACAAGAGGCTTTCCTGAGGGAGCAGGAGCTGGAAAAGCAGAAATTGTTAGCTATTCAGCAGAAAGAGGCGGAAAGGTTACTAGAAGAACAAGCAAAAAGGGTAGCAGAAGAAGAGGAGAAGTTTTTGAAAGCAGCTGAACAAGAAGAACTCAAAAGGTTGCGTGACGAGGAAGAAGAGGCATTGAAACGTTTGAACATAAGCTCCTCAGCTGAGCTCCACAATCGCCACCTTGAGAACGTCAGTTTGAACGTGAGTCTTTCAACTAAAGTTTGATCGAGTCCTAGAAGTTTCATCTTTGACGGTTTATGACATGTCATTTCGGAATGCCGAAGTTTAGTGTGAAGGTTTGCATACTTTATTTTCTTTGTAGACGCCTGCTGTCCATCAACAATCAACGTCTCGTAACTCGTCGTATGAGCTTACTCCTGACAAGGTGTTCAAGCCATCCAGTGAGAATAACTACAACATAGAAGATTTGTCCAGTGGAGACGAAACCGACCAAGAGGTGTGTCTTTCACTCATAAATATCTTTCTGTACTGTGATGACAATGTTTTAGGATGCTCCTCGCAAGAAAGTTCCGGTTTGGGCCGAGGGTGCCCTTCTTCGAAGAGCACTTGCCGAACAAGCACAGATTCTCAGAGCTGGCAGATTCGATCCTGATGAATTCTTCGGCGAGATTTTCCCTGTACGGGTTTAATTGAGCTTGAAAGCTTATTTTTCTTTGTTCTACAGCTTCATCTTGAAACATATTACGTGTTTCAGCCGGATCTGTCGAAGATTTTCGGGACGTCAAAGAGATACCCGCGGCGAGGTTCTTCAGGAATATGGGAGTCCCCGATCAGTAAACCGCGTCAAGGAGTTGGAGCATTTCAGAAACGATTCAACCCGAAGACGTTTAGCGTGTTTTGACTAATCTTACTCGAGAATTCAATCTGTGTGGTATGTTTAACCTTCCCCTTCCTGGATGAGTAGAAAAGGGCGTTATTTGGTCACGCATGATTATATGACATCTAATCCTTTTGGTGCGGCGCGCAAATCAGGTAGTAAATAAGAATATACCTGCCCAGGCGGGGGGGCAATTCGGAGGGATGGGCTGTGCTCGAGTCACTTTTCGCGTTGCAAAGTTTGTTCATTAGTGTCTGTTGTCTTGTTTCGTGAAGGAGACGTCGAGGAGGAAAAGGATTAGATGTCGCAAGGTAGTCACGCATTACTATAGGTTCTGATTTGATCAGAGAACGGTTGTGCGGTCGTGGGGTGTGGTTCACTAGGATAGAAAGCGAATTTTTCGCGCTCCGCAGCGCGAAACATTTTTCGTTACAGGAACCTTAGTCCACATTCTGGGGCCGGGTGCAGCAAGCCCCAACGAGGGGATGGGTCCCCTAAACTCTGCATCTCTGGACTCTTCCCCTATTCTTAACCACGAGAGTTGCGTCATCGACAGAGTGGAGACACAGAACTTTGGGGACCCATCCCCTCGTTGGGGCTTGCTGCACCCGGCCCCATGGATTCGTCACGGACTAAGCAGTATCTTGCAGCAAAAAATGTTTCGCGCTGCGAGACGCGAAAAAGTCGCTTTCTGTCCTAGTGAATCACGCCGGCAGTCGTGCAGGCCAAATGCCCTTTTTCCGTCACTGACCAGAGAGGGAAGGGAAGTAGTGAGCATATTGACCTGTTACTTAAAATTGTAGGTGAACATATAACATGTATTAATTAATTAATGTCTTATTATCGAATGGTCGTTGAATAATTTTGTAAAGTCTGGTAAATAAAGAATCTGGAAAGTTTTGTTGGTTCTAATACATAACACAGTTACCTTACCAATACCTTACCTGGTGTTCCACCATGTTTTTCTTTTATTTTTTTTATATGTGCGCCAATTGCAGTTGCTAACTGCTGAGTCACGGCAGTTATGTCAAGCGAGAGAACTGTGAAATTTGTGGTCAAGCCCACAGGATCCTCCAATTTTCACTAAGGTGAGAGTTTAAGGTAGTAGTGTGTACCTAAGTAATAATTTTATGTTCGTAAAATCATACCTTCCATCTTCTTCAAGTCTTCGAATAATTGACCCTGATGGCAGTCGTCGCTAACACAAGCAGTGTTATTGTCAGGGCTCATCGTCGATTCGAGCAGTGTGGTGTTCGAGTCATAGAACGACAAAGTTTCTCGATAAATCCCTGTTTTTCTCATCTTACTTTTTCTTTTTCACAGGAAAATTAGTATTCTCACGTTCACAAATGTTTTTAAAATCCCCACCGGCCAACATGCAGTTTCTTATTCACATTATTTGACCCATTTTGTTCAGGGAACCTTAGCTCTAAAGGTTGAGAACGTTCTGTTTCTGCCATTCGGTTCCATTTCTCACGAAGTTTATAGCACCCTTCGCAGTGGCAGTAAAACATTGGTGTTTTACACATGGTATAGGGTGTCAGACGGGAACGCATATTTTGGGTAATTTAGAAGTGGTAACAGGCTGATATCGACCAATAAGCATGGTCAAAATGTGACTACCACCAATCAAGGTGCGCCTTTCGCGGTGACAGTAGAAATTGGTCCTGCTTATGATTTAGGGGGTCAGACGGGAGCACATATTTTGAGTGACGAGGAACATGTTTTGAGTGAACGGAGGACCGATAAGGAAGCCGATGTGAGTACCTTCGATTTCGTACCGATTTGCGCGTTTCGAACGGTTTACACTAGGGAACAATCAAGGTGACGGAAAGGCCCTGATGTCCGCTTACGCGAAAAAACGCACAGGCGAAAATCTCCGCCAAGATTTAGATACGCATCGACTGAGAAATTGGGAAACGCGTAAGCGAAACGTCCGGAGCAGGCGAATTTCAGTCAAGAGTTTGATATGTATCGACTGTGAGAAACGCACAGGCGGAAAATCGCGTGAGCGAAGCGTTCGGAAGTCGATGCGTATGATACTCATTTTCGTCGATCCTCCCACTTCACGATTCGCCTGTGCGTCTTCGTTCAGTCGATACATATTTCACATTGTTTCGCCTATGCGTTTTTTCGCGCAAGCGGACATCTCTGAACAGGGCCATACTGACGATGGAGGAAACGGGGAGGTATTTTATCTACGACATCAATGGTTTACAAGGTCACTGATAAAATTGAACGACTATTGAGTGGGGCTAAATCCGCTCCATTAATACAACCAGTTGAGCTTATCATGAGCAGAGTGTCTAGTAGGTAAACACATATCATTCTTAATCCGGTCTCAAAGTAAGCAAGTTTGTCAAACCGCTGAACTGTAGGGATTTTTGAATAATGGTATGTACGTCAAAGATAAGTATTAGAAGATCAGTAAATCAGCTTTTTTCGTTTCCACTTCCATCAATAACAGTGAGGAAACCAATTCAACCGGTGAACATCGGAATTCGGTACGAATGCTGGATGTTTGCAGCCTTTCATAAGTTATAGGAATCCACTATTTTGCCACTAATCTTTTTTTTTTACATCATTTGCTAAGGTGCGCTTCGTTATCCAATCCTTTTGGAGAGCTTCGTGCAATTTTCACCTATTCCAAACGTTTCGATTCGAGAATTCGATTGAGTCAATGACACTGTGTAATGCCAAGCGCAAGCCAACAATTTCGAGATACAGTACGCCATTTCGTACAATTTATAAAAGGCTAAGTCTGAACGCTAAAAAACGAAGATCTGACTGCTTCACTATGCTTCGCTTAGGTCTATCGTGTTGTGTGTGATGTAGCGTGCGGTGCTAAACTGTATGGAATAATAATGATTGATGTCTGATTTGCTCTATTCGTCTTTGGGATCTGGGTTTTCGTGTAGTACGTAAGGTAATTGAGTATGAGCTGTGAAGTAATCAGCAGAAAACCTTACTTTAAAGAATAGTTGTGTCGCTATATCAAAGACAGCGTGTACCTTAGTAACCCATACCAGAGGAGTTGGCACTTGGAGGCACCAGAACAGTTGGCCATGAACGAAATACAGTCGAAGAAATCAGCAGCCATGCACAATCCAAGTCGCCCCTACCCCTGGTTTGAGGTACCGTGCGTAATATTGTTTCATTCGAGCATGAGACATGTGGGATTCCGCATATGTGAAAGAAAATAGTATGCAGACATATAAAATGTGTCGAATTGATGCGGGGAGAGGGTGTTAATCGTACATCGGGCAAATCTTCTGTCATATCTCAGATTTCGTTGCTTGTACAGGGTGTCCCAAATTTATGGGCGCCGAAATTCAAGTTTTTTTTTGGGCAGAAGTACTCTGCTTATTCTCCCTTCATTTGCTAATGATTAGTTACACACGAAGGTCCTCTTGTAATCTTGTTTGATTGGAGTGTGAAATCCCTACTATCTTCAGGAGGGCGGGAGGTCTTTCACTGCGACCTGCGATCATTCGCATGCACGAGGCGACCCCAATGAAGGACAATGTCAAATATTTTGTAGTTTCCACAAGGGTTATACGGAAGGTTATCCTACGATACTAGGAAACAGCGTCCATTATGCATAGGCCTAAGAGAGGTAGAAAGGCTGGCCGTTCTGCCGGAAGGGTGTCTGAAAGGTTCCATTCTCAAATTGACCGCGACCCACGACGCTCCTTCAGAAGAATGGCGGAGGAGCTGGAGGAATCGAAGTCGTCGATGGGAAAGATAGTCAGGAAGAACTAGATATGAACTAAGAACGTCGGAAATAAAGAACTTCTACCTGCGTATAGATATGGCACAGCTTGTGAGCCGTTCCTATTCATACGGAGTGCCAGCTCATTTTCGATATCAACAAGCAACAGAGGGTCAAAGATTGCAGAAGGTTGCTCACCCGCCTCAGTGAGGACACGCACCCTACCACCCTTTCTTATGAGGAAAAAATTTCCATAGCAGAGCGGATTGGCAATAGCCAGAAAGATTGCATTCCGGGCAGAAATGTCAGGAGTGCTACTCCACGCTAAAAGATTGTTTGCAAATCACCGAACTTGGTCTCAATTTCGGTTTAAAGGAACACCACGTCCAGTGGTAAGGGGCCGTTAGTTTTCCGCTCGATTTCGGTAAGTTCATCAGCAAATCCGGACACTTGAGGTGAACGTAATGAAGGCTCGGCACGAGTCCTACCTTGGAAATAACCCGAGGTGTTTCCAGCAGAAAAGTGCCAATGCCTACGTAGGCCAAGTTCCTCCAAGTGTGGTGCCGAGTTCAGTTGCCCGACTTTGCTGGCACCGAGAATGGAAATCATCTTTCACCAGGTTCGCGCCCACCTCACCTCTTAGTGTGGTCGTTGAGCGAAAGTAAGGTGTGTCAAGTTCTTCGTCACAGTTCGAGTCACTGGAAGGAACATTGAAGGAAGCCTGAGAAGAAATAGACGAGGAATTCCTGCGTGCAACGTGCGCGAAGCCTAAGAAGCGACTTCGAGCTTGCATTAGTCGCGTTGGAGAGTATTTCGATATCTAGTTGTTCCACATTGTTGGGGATGATGCAATTTAACCTTATGTGTAAATTCAGTCAGCATCGTCCGTTTAGAAGCTTGAAAATATATTGTGTAAGCGGCCCATTTAATTTTTGGGACACGCCTGTATTTTGCACTTCTTGTGTTTTTATTCATAGTCCATCCGATGTCCTAGCAGTCCATTACCTTTCTTAAAGATAATAAATAATTGACGGATCCCGGTACATGAAACTGGTGAAGGGGAGGCACCGATCTTTAGTTCTTTTTTCCTACGAGGAATAGGAGAAAAAGATGAGGTAGCGAACATGACAGCCATCACACTTTGGTATACTTCTGTGCTTGAATTTGTTTGGTATTGTTTTTACGGCTGTCACTCTAGGTTATGGCATGTGATCACCTTGCCTTTTCGACGAACTATTCCTGCAGTTGTGTTTGCTACAGTCGTTTGGACGGTATCTTATAACGTTGGTGTTCGGTGAGT